TTTTGTGAGGTCTATCTGAATACCTGCAATAGTCGCAATATAACCTAAAAAGCATAGGTGACCTTTCATTAAGTAATAATTTTTCTGATGAGCATATAGTTTCTCTGCTCGCAGTACCTCAAATACTTCTCTCGGGTGCTGTAATTGATCCTCCTCGGAGTGGCCGTATATTATAATATTGTCAAAGTAGGCACCACGAGATACCTCATTCATTAACCTCATAAAAGTATTGAGTGCATTTAACAAGAGGAAGGACATAATTGTTCACTCGTATAGACCATTTAGTGTCTTAAAAGCAATTTTCTACTCATCTCTTAGCCCCATCAATATCCGGTGGTACTAACTGTGTAAGTCGATCTTGGAAAAGATGTTGGTTCCATGTAACTAGTCCAAGAGATCATCCAGGCGAGGTATAGGAAACCGGTACTTAATAGTGATCTTGTTGTTGGCACTGCTATCGATGCACTTCTGCCATAACCCATCCTTCTTAGGCATCATCAAGGCAGGAACAACACACGGATTGGTGCTCTCTCTAACTAGCCTCCTTTCGATGAGATCTTGCACTTGCTAATGTAACTCCCAACACTCCGCAGGTCTCAATCTGTAGGCGGGTTGATTCGACAACACTTATCATGATATGAGATCTATGGCATGTCGAATGTTCCTCAGGGATGGTAATCTCTCCAAAAGGCTATCAATCATCACATCTTAGAAGTCTTGTAGTTGTGGTTGTAGTAGTGCTGATATCTTATTCTCCTCCTCAGCTCTCTCTAGAAGGACCAATGTCAGTGCCAGTAAGGCATCTCGAACTGACTGCACGAAGGTAGCCTAAGGGGCTAATACTTCCTTTGTATCTCCCTCGCCTCTTGCATCCTTAACAGGTAATAACACAATGCATTTTCCATCATTCTTAAGGGAAAAAATGTTCTTAATGCCATCGAGCCGAGTCTTGTGGGTTGAAGTGTCAAGACCTGCCCAACAGTATGTGGCAGGCGTCCATCAAAATCACATTACACCATACTTGCTCCGAAGTGGAGTTGTAGTTGTCGGTAGGCTGCTGCATGATGCTGGATATGATTGGTAACCTGTTGGAGGGTGCAAGAAAGACCAGCGATTTGTTAGAGAAGTATGGAAAGGAGTCGATGGTAGATGGAAGGTTCTGGAGATGGTTTGCGATAGCAGAACAGGTGTTAAAGTGGTTGACGGGTCGTTGGAAGGTGGCTGGAGGAAGCAACAGTGCTGGCGGCTTCCTGGAAGGGGCTGAAGATGAAAGGCAACAAGCGACTGAGGTGCTGAAAAGGGGTCGACGACCTATTGGAAGTTGTTGGAGGGTCAGCGGTCTGCTAAGGGCTACTGGAAATTGATCAGAGGAAGCAGCAATACTGAAGACTACCCGGAAGGGCTGGAGATGAAATGCAGCAGGCGGCTGAAGTGATGGAAGGTGGTCGGCGGTTTGCTGGGAGTCGCTAGAGGTCAACGACCTGCTAAGAGTTGTTAGATGGTTGATGGCTTGCTGGGATTGGCTAGAATGGCCTAGGGTTGACTGATGACAATGAAAAGGTGGGAGAACGGTGGAGATAGCCATCACCTCGGACGAGCTATAGCTGGAGCACCTTCTCGTTGTCAAATACAACCCTCGGAAGGGGAAAATGATGGAGGCAGAATTTTGAGCTCAAAAACAATAAAAAATTGTCCTAACCTAAGCAAACAACATATATATAATAGGGATTAGTAAATAAAATAACCGAGTAGAGTAGAGTAGAAAAGAAATAGAAAATGAAGAGCATAAAATAGACAAGGAGAAGAATAGACAAAAAATTAAAAAGAAGAAAAAAGGAAGGTAGGCAGTGATTCCCACTCCCTGGTTTGGGCAGCCGTTCCAACCTCCCTAATGGACCGGTTCACTGGCAGAGCCTCACGCCGCCCTATATCTCTGATGAACCTACTCTTGTTCCCACGATCACAAATCAACCTAAAAATATAACTATAACTCCACTAAATCCTCTCATAGCTCCCGCCAAGATCCCAAAACTACGTGTGTACACCGAAAAGAAATGCTTTAGTGAGCATGTAAGGGATAATATACAAAATCAGGAACGTAAATCACCGGAACCAACTCCACACACCCCAAGTATTCATATAGAGATTGGATCAACACACACCAAGAGAATTAAACACAAGAATGCACAAAAACATGATAAAAGATTTTGTGAAATGAAAATTATCACCTTCTTATAAATCTTTGTTTAGAACTTGGATAATGTGCAAGTCTCAAATTTCATCCAAAAGGCCTTATTTATTCCTGCTTGGAAACAGACTTTGGAAGAAGAAATTAATGCCCTTGAAAAGAATGAGAGCTGAATCATAACAACTATGCCACTTGGGAAAAAATTGTAGAAGGCACATGGATATTTACTAACATAAAAAACAGATGGGAGCATAGAAAGATTTAAACTAGACTTGTAGCAAAAAAGTTCAATCATTCTTATGGGATTGACTACCGAAAAATATTTGCACCAGTGGCAAAAGTCAACACAGTAAGAGTATTACCGTTATTGGTTGTAAATCAGGACTGACCATTACATTAGCCAGACATTAAAAATATATTTTTTACTAGGGATCTTGAGGAAGAAGTGTATATGGAGATACCTCTAAGATTAAACAACAACAACAACAACAACAAAGCCTTCATCCCACTACGTGGGGTCGACTACATGAATCCTTTTTCTCCATTGCGTCCTATTTAGTGTCATGTTTTTATTTAGTTCTAATAAATTAAGATCATTTTTTATACAATAAGCCCAAGTCCTCCTTAGGTCTACCTCTGCCTTTCTTAACATAAGTCGAATCTAAAATATCTACTCTCTTAATCGGATCATCAGATGGTCAACGTTTAATGTGACCAAACCATCCTAAGAACTTCAAGATTAAAGAACAAAAAAATTAATCAGTTTGTGTAAAAACTAAAGAAATCATTATATTGGTTGAAACAATCTTCCAATGTATGATTTGAAAGGTTTGCCGAGACTATTCTTGACAATGTATATTATCAGTGCCAGGTTGAACACACTTATTTGTGAAATCAAATTAAGAAGGTTGGTTAGTAATCTTTATTGTATATGTAAATGATATTATTCTTAGAAGTAATGACGAAAGGGAACTTGAAAGAATAAAAAAAATAACGGCTTCTTAATTTGAGATCAAATATATTGCAACTTTAAGATACTTCTTAGGAATAGAAGTGGCTAAATCCAAAGAAGATATGGTCATATCCCATAGAATATATCCTTGACCAAGAAGACATGAATATTGGGAATGCAAACCTATAAATACTCATATGGATATTAATTGACAAGCATCAAAAGGATAACACCACAACTAAAAAAGGGAGGTATCAAAGAATTGTGGGAAAACATATTTATTTTCACATACAAGACCTAACATTGCTTTTTTTTTGTGGGTACGATGAGTCAACATATAAATGATCCAAATAAAGATCATTTAGAAGCAGTTTTTCGAATCCTAAGGTACCTACAGATGGCTCCAGGACATGGATTGATATTTAAGAAGACTGAGAATTAGGACATTGAGATCTTCATTGATGCTAGGTAAGCAGAAGAACTGACTGATAAAATGATTAGCACGAGTTATTGTTCATTTGTATGGGATAACCTTGTTACTTGTAGATGTAAAAAAGCAAGTTCTGGTGGCAAGAAGTTGTACAAAATTTGAGTATCATGCTCTGACCCTATGAATTTATGAAAAGATTTGACTAAAGAAACTACTGGTGGAATTTCATGTGGAAGACAAAAGAATTATTATATTGTTCAGTGATAATCAATCAATCAGTCATCAATATTTCAAAGAATCTGACACATAATTATCAAACGAAATATATAGAGATTGACAGACATTTCATCTTTGAGAAGGTCAATAGAGGGGTTATTCAACTAAGTTATATCCCAACACAATATCAAATTGATGACATTCTTACTAAGGCTCATCCTCGACACCACTTCTGTGATTTAAGTAGCAAGTTTGAAATATATGACATATACAATCTAACTTTGTCATATATCTCAAACTCGAGAGAGAGTGTTCATACACATATTCAGTTTAGGAGACTCTTGGTCCACTATTATATTTGATAGGACAAAATTATTCTCTCCTAATTATCCATTATTTTGTTTTTATTTTTCCTTTTTATCATGATGATTTGATTTTTCCTCCTATTGTATGAGGGTAGTTTGAGTTGTATATATATATTTGTTATTTGCTTAATGAAAAATTAGAGAGTTTATTCCTCCCAAAAATCTATATGTTGGTCCACTATTATAGTTGATAGGACAAAATTAGAGAGTTTATTCCTCCCAAAAATCTATATTTACGGGTGTTATTCTAACCTCCTCAGGATTGTCACATATTTAATGCTTTATCTTATTTCATGCCATACACTTTTGCTTGATTTGCCTTTACTTCCTACAATTGAAATAAGCCATGTTTCTGCCCACAATTTTTCTTAATAAAAAAATACTTTCACTATTGATCTCCCCCTTACAACAAAATCTCTCACCCTACTTTTCTTCATTAACACCCTCATGTCGCATAATTTCATAAAAGCGAGTTATTTACATGTTCTACGCTTCCTAACAACTATCTTCTATAATATGGTGCAATGATAGTGCTTATAAAAGAGAGAATACAAAAATAACAAAGTTCAATCCACATCAAAAATATTCATAGAAAAAATTCTCAAATCAGTAATAATTGAACTAAGATAATTCAAATGCAATCTAATTGGAATGTCATCCTACATACACAAACAGTACACTACACACTTTTTATATAGTTTGTTGAAGTTTTTTTTTTTATCATGAAAGATAATTCCAAATTTTATATGCAGAGTTCTTCTTCATTTCTCCATCAATTAATGTTCCCCCATTACATTCTAACATGAGTTTTAACCGAGGAAATTAATTACGAGACAAGGTTTAACTTACAGCGCCATTTCCAGGCCCGCCACAATAAATAGTGTTTTTACCCATTGCAAGAAACAGTGGCTTCGCAGCAAGGTAAGCATCCTCCAATCCGCCAACCTATACAAGATGTTTAGCATTGACAAATTAGTTGCACTAGAACTAAGATCAACGAATTTGAGCTAACCACAATATATACAGTCTAATAATTTGCAAATTTTGAGAGCAAAATAAGAAGAAAAAAAAAATACACTCACATTTTGGTGCAACAACATGGATTAGACAACATGGTGATGACTTTTTTAAAATCCATTGAATAAGAAATGTTAGAATGAACAAAAGAAAAATTAGTCATACCATGAAAGTAAGAGTCCCAGCTGCAGCACCTGGAACGCCTCCAGAAACAGGAGCATCCAACATGAATGGTCTATCAGCGGTCCCTGCTCAAGGGGATCATACAAACATAAGAAATAGTGATAAAATACTTTGTCATAGAAGTAAAATAGATATCCAATTACATGTACTTGTCAAGAAAGCTATGTAAGAAATCAAAAAATAAACGTAATAAACTATAAAGGCATATTGGAGCCACAGGTCCATGAAAACAGTAGCCAAACTCTCTGATAAGAACAATTATGCATGAACAAAGAAAATTCCCTAATTTGGAATGTCAGGTTGTTAGGTTGACACATGGACAAGCTTTAGGAGTCACAGAAAAATTGATTATCTTAAATAAATAAGAAGATGAGCACCTTGCAGCTAATTATCAATTTCTTGTGATGTACAGGATATATTCAACGAAAAGGACCCATCTAATACCACTTATCAACCAATTAAGCAGTTAAAGCGATATTTTGCCTAGCAAAAGGAAAAAAGAATGCAGTATATAGAATCATGAATGAATTGTATTAATAGTGAATCAGAAGATTTTGCAACATAACAGAGAACCTTTTTTCTCTTTCAGAAGACATTGAGAAATGTTCATTGATAGATTTCTTGCAGTGAGGGGATCAATTGTAGATGAGTCAATAAACAACCAAGGCTTTAATTGACTTCCACCATATAACAATCCATTTTGTCCGGTATAAACATCCAATACCTGTAAAATGGTTTCAAAATGTTATATTCATTTGGTGTTTAGATAGCTGAGTACACCCCAGCAGTTTCAATTAAACCACATAATCTCTTAAAATGGCTTTTTAATGGCATTAATAAGCTATAATTGAAAGTCCATAGTCTATTGAATTTTAAATTAATTGGTCTTAGGGAGAGCCAATTACATATTTTAGCAAGCTGAGGAGATCCAACATTATTCATCCGAGGTAAGGGATGGCTATTCATCAATGAAAAAATTTTAACTCAACCAACGTGATCAAAGGGCATGAAGACAACTGTTTAAAAATAGAAGCTCAAAACAAGGTCGAGAAATTGCGATGAAGTAAACTTCTTCTTGTAATGAAATAAATTCATCAGTTTAGATAAACTCTGGTTGTTCTTAGTTCATCCTGTAACTCATTCCTCAAGGTACTAACATTAAAACCATGTTACTAGTTATCTTTTCAATATCAAACTTTCACGATAAGGGAAAATTTTGCTAGGTCCTACCTTACAATTTACATTTCCTAAAAACATACCACAACCTCTTGCACAATAGATTCATGGGGCTTTAATAATAGTTCTCTCAGTCTCTATAAAAAACTAATATACTGGTTCCATTAGTAATAATGAATAGGTTCTAACCTAATAAAATGAAACAAGCAATGGGCTTTAAATGATAAAAGAAGAAACCTAAGTAAATCTCCATTTGCTAAATTTAATACATAGATGCTAAAGAACTGATCAATTTATTGTTCCAACTAATCAGTGTAAAACTAAGAAAGGGGCAGGTATATTACAAAGAGCAAACCAGCAGATGAATTTCAACCGTTTAGTTTACTTATGACTGACATAATAGAGCCGAATAAGAAGAATTTTAAAATATTTGACTATGTTTCAGACCAAAACAAACATTATTAGCATTCTAGTATGGCATATTTGAGGTAGATTTGGTTATCTGAGGAAGAATGCATCCATTTTTAAAACAGGATAAATTAGGAATCAGAAATATCAACATATGTTTGTTTTTGGAGTAGAATGGCACTATTCATTCCAAATTTGGGAGCTTACCATCATAACTGCAGGGAACTGTATCCATGACAATTTAAGGGTCCAACAATCCGATTTCAGAAAGAAACATAATACTAATGGGATAAAAAAGCAACAAAAGGACAAGGAGCTTCTAAAGTAAATGTTAGATAAGAGAATTGGAACAGTGCATGATAAATGATATAGCATTGAAGTAGACTCCTCATCTTCATCATTAATCTTATACCAAGTATTGGGGATTAGCTTTATGAGCCTTTATTATTCATTCATTATTCTTAAGTATTGTATGAAGTGTTAAAACTAATCTCCACAAAACATTTTGAAAAACTTTTATCGTGTGTGTGTTTATACATATATGAATACAACTACTCATATATATGAATAAAGTTGTGTAAAAAGAGTTGTATAGAATAGTTTTAACACCACATACAATTCTTAGTAGTATATCCTCTTTTCGTTATTAAATTGGCATCCATTCTACCTACTATTCCTAGTGTATATTTTCTACCATTTGTTATGTATACCTAAATCATTATCTATTTTTCACTATCTTATCTTCAATAAGACGCTTCTCCAGCAATCTCTCTAATAAAACTATTTATTCATGTTTCCTAGATTTGTTACACAACAATATTAACATTCACAAAGTCAGTATGCATATATGGCTAAACGTGACTACTTTACCATCAAATAATTTATATCAATACAACATAGCTAGGCTAGTAGTAATTTAATTTAACTCAGCCATTAACTCTCGATGATATTCTTTTATCATGAAGTTCTTTTGGGCACTTCTGCAAATTAACAACTTTGCCTTATCTCTACAAGTGCTATTCTCAATTATATCCCCTCCGCCTTGACAAATAAAAAATTTAAACCTAACATATCTATACATAACTTTATTTCAATATAATATTGAATATTAACTATAGATATCACACCTAAAAAAATTGCATATTCTAAACTTAGTTCTTGTTCTACTAATCCCAAGTCACCTAACTTTTAAACATCTACATTCTTCTAAAATAGAAGTTAACATGAAGAGAATATTTGCAAGATCTTTCCCTTCAACTATTATTCAATTAATAAAAACATTATAATGATCATCATTTCCATTATCAAAAAAATTTTATTTTATGTTTTTTTAGTATGAAATATCATCTTCACACATCTAGAGTTTCTATGATAGCCAACTATTAAAATAATGGACAAAAAATAAAAAAGATTAACTTCAAATATTTAAATAAAGGAAAGATAACTGAAGCATATCAGAATCAAGATAAGAAAAGGTTTACGATGTATAAGAAAACGTTATTTACTCACATGTGAAGACGAGGGAAGCATGGTAATAATAACATCACTTGACTCTGCCACTTCAAAAGGCGTTTCTACGGTGGATATTCCACAATCTGAAAACTTCTTCATAGCAGTCTGATCACTGCAAAAGATCCCACCACATTGACTTTGTTGTTTTAAAAAGAATTTGGAAATGAAATGATACTACTGAAAAGCATGGTTAGAGGTGACGTGTAAATGGAAAAATATATTATCCAGCTCAACAAACAGTATATTCCTATTAAAATGAATGTTCAGCAATATCAAAAGTGCATTTTGAATCCTAACATATACAAAAATCAAGCAGGAACCGGTCAAGTTATAAAAAAGTGCTCAATCGCGAATCAAGTATACCTGATACTAGAAACATAAGCATAACCTCATTTCGATCACATAATAAAAAACTAAACCATTAAAACCAGAAATAATTGAGCATATCTTCTTCAATTTTTGTAGCATGATTGTTGGCTTAAGGATGCATTATTAAATCCATTGTGAGGAACATAAGAAGTCATCATTCAGAAAAATATTCCTTGCGAAGGATCAAAATCTGCATTTTTTTGCACCAAAATATGCATTTGCATAACAGATAGAAAACGATGAAAATTTATTTAATTGTTTGCATTATAATAAGAGAAACAATTCATTGATCTGATTATGATAGCAGAAGCATCAATACAGGATTTTAAGGAAAACATCATTCTGTTGCAAAAGAATAAGAGAACTTTACATGTCATTGACAGTCAGTTTGTACCCAGCAGTAATTAAATTATTTGCCATATGAAAACCCATATTTCCAAGCCCAATGAATCCAACCCTCTGCAAAAAACACACAAACTAGTCAACAGAAAGCAGAGAGAGAGAGAGAGAGAGAGAGAGAGAGAGAGAGAGAGAGAGACATATGTGTTTCCAGCTTATTAAAGCATATTTCTACTTCGTTTGCATTTATACTCTTACCCATCGAGATATTGTCCGCTCTGGCCTGGATGTCTTACGATTTTATCCCAATGGTGTAATTTCCCAGAAGGCTACTCATCCAGGAGTGCTCCAGCACGAGCACACTTAACTTTGGAGCTTATGTGGGACAAAGTGCAACATAGTGGGAGCCACCTATCGAATATGTAGGGGCTGCCTCTAGAATCCTATTTAACAGATAGATGATTCTAGGTTTAAAGAACTAACAAGGATGTCAATTACTTAAATAAGGGAGATTGTGAAATCCTTAAAGTACATGAAAGTTGAACTCTTAAACATCGAGGCGTCTTTTGGTGTAACAATTAGAGTTCATAAAGAAATTCCAAAGTTTAGTGTGCTCGTGTTGGGACGCTCCTTGGATGGGTGACCGCCTGGAAAGTTACACCATTGAGACAAAACCTTGAGGCCACTAGCCAAAGAGGTCAATATGTCGATGGGTGAGAGTTCAGCTTCATTGTAAGCTTTAAGAAAGAAACAAAAATAATTATCAGCAACACAAGTAAACGAGCAAATAGAATATATCTTGTATTTCAACTATAAAGTGGTTATTTTCTAAATGAAAAAAATATTGGGATTGTTTGGTTGCAAGTAGAATTCTGTTAAAATAGTATTTAGTAAATCTTATAAATCCATATTTATTAAATCCAGATGTTGTTAAATCCCGAAAAACTATTTGGTAATGTTGAGGTTAAATTTAATAAAACTCTTTGAACTATTTGTCAACTTGTTTCAGAATTTAAATATATTGATTTAAATAGGATTTAAATATCTAATGTTGAAGATAAAAATTTGAATGTTACCATAAAATTGCCTAAAATTCTTCTACTACAAAATATTTTCATAAATAAATGTTATAAGCAAAGTTAGAAATTTGTTAATAAGTATTTCATTAAATTAATTAAATGTTCAATGATGCAAAAAAAAAAAAAACTATTACTCTAACTTAACTTCATTACAATTAAAAATATTAGTGAATTAAAGTGGCAAATTAATAATATATTTGGACATAAATTTCTCAATAATATTGATACTGAAGTTAACCCGAGCCACAATGCAAGACACGATGTTATTAATAAATTAAACTGAAGTTAACCCGAACCACAATGCAAGACACGATGTTATTAATAAATTAAAAGGGTCAGTTACAACGATGACTCAAGGAAAGGAAAAGACACTACAAAAATCAAAACATTACAACAGCGACCCAATAAATATAGACACAAAACACTGAATGAGGAGGGAGTCCGGAGAGATGGTGCTAAGGCAGCGGTTGTGGTGAAGGCCGGTGTGGAATTGGGACAGCAAGAGGCGTCAAATTGCAGCCAGCAGAGGTCGAAAGCATCATCAAAGGTTGGAAACTGGAAGGGGCTGCAACATGCGGCTTGCAGGAGGCAGGGGAGATGTGGTCTGTAGGAGCAGGGAAGATGTGGCCTGTAGGAGCAGGGTGGCAACACAATGCCTCTGTGGGAAGGGAAGACGCTGCAAATGGTATGCAGGTGGCTGCGGCTTGCTGTGAGGGAGGCAGCAAGGGCTGAGGATTGCAGTTGAGAGGGCTACAGTGATGGGAGAGTTGGGAAGGCCTGGAGGAGGCTACAACCTATGCATCATGAGGAAGCAGAAGTCAATGAGCTGCGATTTGCATGTGGTTGCAGTGGAGGGGGCTAGAAGGGCAACAGATGGGCTGCGAACGACCTGCAGGAAAGCTGCAAGGTCATAGGCACTAGTCTGGGAGGACAACAGGTGGTTGTTCTGTCTACAAAGAGGCAACAGATCAACTAGGCGGCGAATTGGGAGAGCAGTAAGGAGAATCGGGTGGTTGCATTGGCAGTGAGGTGGTCGTATGTGTTGGAAGTTGGTTGGAGCGTCTGCAGACAGCAGGACAACGAGTAGTGATCGGAACAGTGAAGATAAATACCACCTCGGACAATGGGTTACAACCAAAACACCTTCCTCATTGTCAGATATAGCCCTCGAGAGGGGAAAAATTCAAGCAAAACTGAATTCAGATTTCAAAATCAAGACCCCACAACACTAGACACTTCAACTCCTATTTATAAAAAGACTTGGCCCTAATTTAGAAAACATTTAAATTAAGAAAGGAAAACAAAAATAAAATCAAGATCTCAGATTTTAGGAAATGTTTAAATTAGGGAAGGAGAAAAAAATCAGGATTTAAGCTTTAAGAAAAAGATTTAAACTAGGAAACAGCTTAGGAAGGAAAATAGGAAGAGGAAGACATAAAAGAAAAAGGAAATGAGGAAAAAAAAAAGAAAAGAGGGGGAGGGGGGCGGGGTGGGGGGTGGTCCAAGAAGATCGGCCGGTGCTGGACCTGCTCCCAGCCGGTCCCCCATGAGCCCTGCGTCAGTCTCCAGGAGTTGGGGGAGATTCGACCTCAATTGTCAAAACTTCTAGATTCTCGAAGTACGGAGTAAGATTTACAACGTTGAGTGTGACTAAAATGTTGTAGTCCCCTAGTATGTTAATCTTATATGCGTTGTCGTTGATTTTTTGCATAATTCTGAAAGGTCTGTTTACTTTGAGTTTTAGTTTTCCGAAAGCTCCTACAGGGGAACCGAATCCAGACGAGATCGTCTGCTTGAAATGACACCTTTTTCCTTAATTTGTTTGCCTATGTTTGATGTTTTCGGTTTTGTCTAGCTATCTCATTACCACCCTCTTCGTGTATTTGTTGAATCTCGTGAACCCGCTTTGTAGCATCTTAGCTAAGTTCTGACGTCGATAAAAGTGGAACCAAGTCAAGCGGTATTAGCGGATTGCGGCCGTAGACAATCTCAAGTGGGTTGTGTCCCATTGTCAAACTTGTGGATCTATTGTATGCGAATTCAACTTAAGTTAGGACGAGGTCCCATTGATTGATCTTCTTTCCAATGAAACATTTTAGCAAGTTGCCCAGACTCCTGTTCACTACTTCGGTCCGACTGTCTGTCTGCGGGTGAGCTGCTAAAGTAAATTGGAGCTTGGTGCCTAACTTCCCCCATAAGGTAGGGCAAAAGTGGCTCAGAAACTTGACAACTTTGACAGAGGTAATGGTTTTGGGAATCCTGTGTAACCTAACAATCTTCGTGAAGTATCAGTCAGCGATATAAGAGACATCTAGTGTGCGATGACAGGGTACGAATGTGTCATTTTTGAAAATTGGTCCACTACAACCATTATAGAATCTTTGTTCCTCTGAGTCCTAAGAAAACCTAGTACAAAGTTCATGCTGACATCCACCCAGGGTGTTTCTGGTACAGGAAATGGCGTATACAACCCTGTATTTTGCCTTCTTATTTTTGTCAAATGACAAATCTTGCATTGTCAGACGTGTCGCTCTACATCTCTTATTAGTCTAGACCAGAAGAAGTGTTTTTTGAGAAGGCTAAGAGTCTTGTTTATGCCGAAATCGCCTTGGAGGCCCTCCATTATGGTTCTCTTGTAAAATTGCTTCTCTTAAGGAGCATCTTGAATGCATAGTTTATTGTGGTAGAACAAGTAGTCATCTACAAGGTAGTACCGGCTTTTCCTTACATTGGTCCAAGATATCTTTGAAGTCTTTGTCTGTTGTGTACAGGTCTATGATAATCTCGAACCCTATCACACTTTTTTGCGTTGAAGTGATTAATAAGTGACGACTGCTTAGTGCATCTGTGACACGGTTCTGGCTTCCAGCTTTGTGTTTAAGTACAAAATTAAATAATGTAAAAAATTCTACACAAGTTCCGTGTCGGCCTTTCAACTTACTCTGGATGTTCAAAAATTTTAAAGCTTCATGATCTGTAAACAAGGTGAACTCGCCTGTCAGTAGGTAGTGGCTCCAGTACTCAAAGGCTCATACAATTGCATAGAATTCTTTGTAGTAGGTTGAATATTTCCTCCTAGAATCGTTGAGCTTCTTGCTAAAAAAAGCGATGAGATGATCACCCTGGCTCAGTGCGAACCTTTATTCAAACACCTAGTGCATGACATTCTACTTCGAACAGTTGGCAAGGCTATAATTGGTGGTCGAGTTACTTTCTCTTTTAGCGTGTCAAAGCTAGTTTGAACAGTGTTTGGCCAAGTGAACTCTTTGCCTTTTAAAAACTCGGTGAGGAAGTGGTAGGTAGAATGATGCTAGCCCAAAAACTGTCTTAATTCGGTGAACGATCGCGGTGTGGTCCAGCTTATAATGGCTTTGATTTTTTTCAGGTCCATTTGACTGCCTACGTTGGATACGATGTAACCCAAAAAACATACTTGATTTGTCATGAAAGTATATTTGTTTGGATGGGCATATAATTTTTCATTCTGGAGTACTGCAAATAATGTTGTCGAGTGTTGTACATGTTCCTCTTCAGATGATTGTATACTAGTATGTCATCAAAGTAGGCTACGACGAATTTCCCGACGAGGTTGCAAAATATCTGATTCATCAATCCCATGAAGCCGAAGGGCATGACTGTCCACTTGTATAGTCAATCTCGTGTCTTAAAGACGGTCCACCATTCGTTGTCTGGTATCATCCGTACCTGGTGGTATCCACTGCGTAATTGATGTTTGAGAACAGAGTGGCTCCATATAAATGGTCCAAAAGGTCGCCTAGACTAGAAATTGGGAATCAGTAATTGATAGTCATTTTGTTGATGGCCCTGCTATCGATAGACATCCTCCATGATCCATCTTTTTTGGGTATCATTAAGGCGGGCACAACGCACGAACTTGTACTTTCTCTAATTAGCCCTCTAGTAACGAGATCTTGCACTTGTATTTGTAGTTCCTCATATTTCGTCTATCTTAGCCTGTAGGGAGGTTGATTTGGGTATCAGGTCGATTGCATGCTAAATGTCTATCAGTGGTGGTAGTCC